GCTTGGGCTAGATATGGGATTGGCTCCATATCGGTAAACCCTCACACTGAACAAAAGGTTGGCGGTTTGCTGTAATATGTTCAGATGACATACCATGATGGTATGAAGTAGGATGGATAGCTTGGGCTAGATATGTGATTGGCTCCATATCGGTAAACCTTCACACTGAACAGAAGGTTGGCGGTTTGCTGTAATATGTTCAGGTGACATACCGCGATGGTATAAAGCAGAACGGATAGTGAGGTGTGCATTTAGACCCCATGCAGTTTGCACATCTCATGAAATACAGTAAAACCACTATATTTGCTTGAATCCTAAATGGAATCAGTTTTGAGACCATGGAACTATTTAGACTAATATATTACTTGTCTACGCATTCATGATCCACTATTGAGGAAATTTATGGAGGAGAATGTTCTAAAGTTTCAATCCATCAATTTCGATAATTGTATTTTCTAAATAAAAATGAGTGGCCACTTGACTTTTATAAAGTGTGTTGCAATTCATAGTGTCATTTTATAAAACTTAGAGTGCATGAACCAAATGGGAGATTGTTAGAATTTTCATATATATATTTAAATAATAAAAATTATTTTATGGTCTTATGTATTACGTTTTCTAAAATAGGATTGCAATGTGATTATTGATCCTTGATGGATTGGGTTGTACTTTCCAATTTGGTGGTCTAATTGGGAGTATGGTTTTATACCGTCGGATTGTGGTTTTCCAACTTATTTGGTGTGATTTAATTCTAACCATTGATATCTAAGTTTCCATGATAGTAAGGGAGATTTAGAGATGCTTGTTTGTAAAGAAGCCGTCCCCCCTGTTGTTGTTATATATAAGGGTTTTAAAACCCTTATTCAGTCCTATTGTATCGACAACTCTCAAAAGGGGGTAAAACGTTCTAATGTTTTACTGGAACTCACAAAGGATTACATAGATATTCTAAAGGTACTATGTGATTTAATTATCAATCAGGTACGATATCTAAATTACTCTTTAAAGTATTCTTGATTTTTACATCGATTAATTTAATTAAAACCCAACAGGTGATTGTTTTTATTTTTAGATGTTAGTGGTGGCGATAATATTGTGATTGAGTTGAGGTTTAAGTGGTAGAGATGGTATCATTGACAGAGTAATCATCAATTCAAGAAAAGGGGGTGAGTTTGATTTGTGAAAGAAAGGAAACAAAAAATTAACAGGAATACTGGTCTACTGAATTATTGAGACATCTACCTTATAATTGAATATATTTTTAATACATTAAATTTACATATTTTAGTCAAATTTAATGCGTTGAAAAATGAAAATAATGTGTTAGAACAAATTATAACACTACTGAAACAGATGAACCGGACGCACAAACAGCCAGTCTTAGGAATGGACGACTTTGATCAGATTTAACACCGATATTTATATTGCATGCAGGCCAGGGCCAGAACCTTGAGCCCAAATCCTTGGTCATTGGACTTGGGCTTCGAAACTAGGTGGGAATGAGACTACTTTGGGCCTGTTGGGATAGCACCCCGGGTCCAATGGGCACATCAAGTGCTTCGTTTAAGATATCTGCAAAATCGGAGTGCAGATCATGCGCAAAATGTGGGGTCCACACCATATTATTCACTACTTTCTCCATAATATTAAAATTACATTATTATTATTATTATTATTTTATTAATTTTTTTAATGGTGTTAGGGTTGGTGGCCAGTGATGAGGGAAGTGGGTGCGAAAGCTATAATATAAACTATTGAAAGTTGAAAACAACAATATTATTTTATACTTGCAAAATTTAATACAGTAATAGTAAAAGTTTATTATTGGTAATTTTTTACTTTTGTAATTGTAAATTTTGTTTGATAAATTATATGGTGATATTTCAAGATTAACTTGATAAAAATGTGCACAAAAGTATTGTGATAAATTTGAAGAAAATGTGCATGAGAGTAAACTTATAGGCAAGATGGTATGAAATTTCTTTTTTAGTTAATCTTAATGCGATGTGCAGTTGGTCACCTGTCTAAGGAAAATAAAAAAATAAATAAAATTATATATCTTTTGGTAGGAAATTTGAGAAACGGATAGAGGAAAAATAGAAAGGAATTAATAAATTTATTTCATTTATTAAAGGTCTAGTGATACTTCTTCACCTCTCAAAAGAGAATGTCGATGATTCAAGTCCCTATAGGGGCATGTGGGTGTCCTAGTGTATTGAGTGTATTTATTGTCATTGAAAAAACAAACTTCCTTCATTTGGTATAAATGAAGCAATAAAATAAGAAAAAAGAGGATGGAGGAAAAAAAGGCAAATCTATTATAAAAATTTTTAAATTACAAAAAATTCCTTACAATTAACACTCTCCCTTATTTTATTTTCTAACGAATAAAATAAGGTATTATATCATTCTCTTATATTTCATCCGACCAAACAAAAAGAGGGATAAAAATAATCTTTTCTATAGTGATATCTCCTTCATATTCTTTCACTTTCGTTCAATTTCCTTCTTTCCAACCAAATGGAACACTAATGTGAGGGACCAAACTTTTCCACCATTTATTTATGCTACCTTTACACACACACACACATGTACACTCACACACGCGCACATATATATATATATTTATATTTTCAAACACCTTTATTCTCTTGGGATAGAGCCTAGAGGAGTAAACCTTGGTGCCGGAAACTGTTATCCACATAAATCTACTGTGTTTCTATCATGGAGTGTAACAATTTTTGACAAGCTTGCAAATTACTCTTTACTTGATTAAACAGTCGGTGCTCTAAGTAAAAAATTTGAAAGGCAAATATCAGTTCTCTTTATTTTTTTGGTGTATTCTTTCCTTCAGTCGTCTCAATTTAATAGCTGCAATTGTTAAAAAAAATACTAATAAAGTTTGATTATTTAATAGCTTAAGTCAACTAATTATTGCATTAAACATTAGGGAGAAATTAATGCAATTTTTCTAAAATTCGTTAGTATCAATAACCTAATATTGGCTATAATATTTTTTTATTTGATATGTTAAATGTTAAAAAAACCCAACGCATCTATAATTTGGTATGATGCAATGTTATAGATTTTATGCATATGGTAATAATTGTTACCAATTAATCAAACGAAAACATTTAATTTTATTTAAATTTTATTTTGCTAGTAGCAAACGAAAACACAGATGCAAATAATTAGATGAGTGCGTTGGTTGTGGTTCGACAATGGTTGTGGTGATTGGTTGAAAAATTAATCATTAGATGAGTGTGTTAGTTGTGGTTAGACAACGGTTGTGGTGACTGGTTGAAAAATTAATCATAAACTTATTAATGTACAAGTGACAGTGATTTTTTCGGATGTGACATATTATTGTGATATTTTTTTGAAGGAGAAATTACAATTAAGTCTTACCTCCTTTTTTTTTTTTTTGTTTTCCTTAAATTGAAAGACATGTAAATTCTAAAAATTTTCTTTAGGATCAATAGGTCCTACTTTTGATTTTTCTAACAATTAAATGTTCCATTTATACCCTTACTAAATAGAAGTAAAATTTTGTAATTATAAATTTATTAAAGAATTGATCTATATATATATTTACTATATATTCATTTTAAGTTTTAGTTACCTAATAATTTAAATAATAATTAATTTAATTTAAATTAAACTCAAAAACTCTGTGTAGAACTATAAAAGAAATCAATAAAACATTTTATTGATTTTTTTTTTCTATTCACTTTTTTGTTTAATTTTCTAATACGGATATGGTAAAGTTTGATTATATATCTAATTTAGTAAGAGTAGAGTAGATCTAATGTAGCAAGGGTATAAATGGAAGATTTATAGATTTAGAATTTAAATGAAAAAAATATCAAATGTAAGACTTATTGATTTATTTTTAAAATAGGACTTATTTGTCTTTCAATAAGAAAAAATAAGCCTTGATGGTAATATATATATATATATATATATATATATTTTTATTGTTATCATTTTCTTATAATGGGACTACTATTGTGCCTTTTATTTTATTTTATTTTACAACTGTTGTGATTGGTAATTTGGTATTGTGCTGTTTTTTTAGAGACTTGATTAGTTTTTTTTTAGTGATGTCAATTTTTATCGCCCGTCGGGGCCCGTCCCGTTAATAACAGATATGGCAACACTTTTTATACCGAAGGCATATATACAAATTTTGTACCCATCGCAGGTCACGGGCGGGTAGGAATTTAGTATACATATCCTAGGGCCCCGCCTTGTCCTACTAAGCATATAACTATATATATATATATATATGTATGTATGTATAATATAAATAACTTATTTTAGCGGCTTACTCAGTTAGTCATCTCTTACAATTCTAATTGGGATGTAAACATGGTATTAAATTTGCTTTTGTTTTGGTTATGGTAGAAGTTGGAGTTTAAAACTCTCCGTGATTTGGTTGTATTAAACTTTTATTTTTGTTTATTATGTTCTCTGAATTATTATGTGCATGTTATTTTTTTTATTTTTGTTGGGATACATAATTTCATTTATGTTGTGCCATTCTCAGGCTTTCCACATTTAAATAGTAGGAGCTTAAGTTCCCAAAAGTGGGAGAAAAAAATTTGTTAGCGGAGCAGACACGGGGGTATAGTATTTTCTAACGGGACGGGACTGGACATGAAAATTCAACCCGTCACGAGTTTTGGAGTAGGCATGAACTTGACAAAAATTAAAAAGGACGGGACAGGATTTAGAAAAACCCACTCCAAACTCGCCCCGTTGCCATCCTGGGTTTTGTTTTAGAGACTTTGATTGATTTTTTTTTTTAGAAACTTGATTATTACAGACTTTACAGTTTCGTTATCAACCAACCAAACAGAGAACCGAACCGTGCTTGAAAAAAAAACACAAAAAAAACTTCGGGATTTACCATTTGAGCGAAGAATGGACGCATATAATATGGTCCCTTATTGACGGCCACGATTCACTAACGTGACCGTAAGAAATCCAAACCGTTGGATGATTTATACCCCTGAACTAACCCTACAAAACCCTAATTCCGTCTGTGCTTCAAGAGTCGAAACTTGAAACCCTCCCAACTGGTGCCGCGAAGCCGATCTTCAGCAGACTTCACATAACTCGGTTAGTACAATCGATATTCATTTCGATCTCTTTTCATTCAATCCGTGTTCATCTGGTGAATCAATGATTTATATATATGTCTTCGATCTTTATATCCATATTTTTATATCACTCTTTAGTCGTATATACTCATATACACTAGTTAAATGTCGGCGTTGTTTCATAATGGGTTTGAGCTTTTTGAAACAATTGTTCTTCTACAACTGGGTTTGATGGATACGGTATTGCTTTCAATTGTTCTTCTATAACTGGGTTTGATGGATACGGTATTGCTTTTCGGTCTTGTCGTTCTGGTGAATCTAAAATACTATTTTGTAATATGTTTGGTTGTTCAGAAAACTGGGGAAGAAAAAAAAAGAGTTCAATTTTTTATGCAGTAGATCATGTAATAGAATGAAAACTATGCAGTCTAGATTCGTCGAGCCTTTCATTTTTTATTTTTATAAGCCAAGTAGATATAATCAGTATGATCCAACATTTTCTTCTTTTCTTTTTATGCGTCGGTTTATTCTCAGACAGACAGAGGGTTATGGGGATTTGATTGTATTTAAAATTTTCAGTCGTTAAAATGTTTATTATAGTTAAAAATTTCACCTCTGTCAACAATCTCGAGTTAAGGACAAATGTAGAGCTCCTAAATAATCATACTGTGATTTAGTTGAGTGAATACAGTTAATTTATGACAGGTTTGAGTTATGAAAACAACGAGTTCAATTATTTTGTGTGCGCCCGCACATCATTCACTTGTTTTTTTTGGGTTGCTACCCGGATCTTAATTGATCTAAAACTCGTTATTTGATTATATTTTTGGTTATATTTTGTTTGAATAGAGATGGCTGAAGAGCAAGCCAAGGGAGGGCATGTTGTCCCAGAGTCTGTATTGAAGAAGCAGAAGAGGAATGAGGAATGGGCTTTGGCGAAAAAGCAAGAGCTTGCAGCTGTGAAGAAGAAGAATGCAGAGAATAGGAAGTTGATTTTTTGCAGAGCTAAGCAATATGACAAGGAGTATGAGGAGCAGGTATGTGTATACGTACTCCTCTTTTGATGCAGTTTCTTGTTTTTATATGTATCTTTTTAAGACTGGACTGTTCTTAACTGTTGGAATGAAATTTTCTTCTGTTACAGCAAAAGGAGCATATTCAATTAAGGCGTGAGGCAAGATTAAAGGGGGGTTTTTATGTTAATCCTGAAGCAAAGCTTTTGTTCATTGTTCGCATCCGTGGGTATGCATCCACTTCATTTTAACTGATGTTGGAATGCCATTTTAGCTAGTTTTGAGATGTATCTCATTTTTGTGTTTTTTGAAACTCCTTCCCAGTATCAATGCCATGCACCCAAAGACTAGGACGATATTGCAGCTTTTGCGTCTGAGACAGGTAACTCAACAAATTATTCTATTTGTAGCTTGGTTTTCATGCATCCAAAAAGTTGTTTCTAGTGGAAACTTGAGTGTTGGTGCCTCTAATACCAACACTCAAGTTTTCTATATCCTGGAAAGCAATTGTTTCAAGTATCAGATTGTATGAGTATGAATTAGTGTTCCCTGAGAATGAGTTAACACATACCAACCAGTTTTCTGTACACTTCGGTATACAGTGTGCCAGTGTTGTCGACATTTGCGTAGTATGTATTAATGAAACTACGGAAGGAGGGAGCTTACCATATCCCAATTGGAATGGTGGAAGCTTAAACTTATCGTTTTTGGTGGTGCAATTGTGTATCTAATTTAGGATTTTATACGGTTGTTGATTAAGCACATTGTATCAGTGAGGACATAATGGTGTGATGTCCCATTAGGTACAAAAAGTTAAATATGGAATTTGTATTAGCCAAATATGCATGCTCTTTCTTCGTATTATCTTTTTCATCTTCAGTAGTCGTATTCTTCCAACGCAGATCTTCAATGGCGTCTTTCTGAAAGTAAACAAAGCTACAGTGAATATGCTTCGTAGGGTTGAGCCTTATGTTACTTATGGGTACGTGTGATCTTACACCATGAGATTCTAAAGTTACAAATGCATATTATAAAAAATTTAACAATATCCCTTCTTTTAGGTACCCCAATTTGAAGAGTGTGAAAGAGCTGATCTACAAAAGGGGGTATGGCAAGCTAAACAAGCAGAGAATTGCTTTGACAGACAATTCAATCATTGAACAGGTTTGTGGGTTCCTGTGGTGCTATTGTTACTGTTCCGTTGTAAATACATGTCTCTATTGTTTGCTAAGATGCCACCATGTCATCGCAGGCTCTGGGCAAATATGGCATTATCTGCATAGAGGATCTCATCCATGAGATTGTGACAGTCGGGCCTCATTTTAAGGAGGCTAATAACTTCCTATGGCCATTCAAACTGAAGGCACCATTGGGTGGTCTTAAGAAAAAGAGAAACCACTATGTTGAAGGAGGAGATGCTGGAAACCGTGAAGATAAAATCAATGAGCTTATCAGGAGGATGAATTAGATTGAGAGATTACTTTCTTTTTGCAGGTTGAGTTACTTTTTTTTTTTTTTCTTTTATTCCCCTTGTGCAACTGGGAGATTCTTAATTCAGGTTTTTCCCCTTTTTAAAAGTTTGAGAGTATTTTATTTTTCAAGCATAAGACCTGGCATGGTGATGCAACTTTATTTTACCATTTACTTGGAAGTTGTATCAACGAAACTTCATATACTTTGTGATTTTTTGGAACTATGTGACATGCTCATGCCTCGACAGTTAGTATTAGATGTAGTTTTAAATTTACTGTTCTTTCGCATCAATCTTTTAAATGTAGCAAAACACATTATCATAGTTTTGCTTGTCGTGTTTAATGTTGTGCAAGACCTTTTAACGGAGTAATTGGCTAGTTGGCTTTAATACAGCATTGCAAATACTAAAAAACACTACTTTTTAGTATACCATCTTATATGTTCTCTGGTTTCCAACATGTGACCACTGTTTTATTGAAGAAGTGGGAACCCCCTTGACAGAATTGGGCACTTTTGTTTTTTGTTTCAATTTCTGAGGCTGTGATTATGTTCCTCGGCATTGTAGGTGAACTTATATGAGCTTATAATGCAAGAACTGAGCAATTTGGTCCCAAATTCTTGAAGTTTGGGAAGTAAATTACTAACATTACCTTTTCTTATGTATGAATCGATATTCTTTATTATATTCCAATTCTTTTCCGCTACCTTCCAAGGAAAATCTCAAATTGGATCCCAAATTCTTTATTATATTCCAATTCTTTCCCGTTACCTTTCAAGAAAAATCTCAAATTGGATCCCAAATTGACGGGTTAGTGTGAGCTTATCCATGAATGTTAAAACGAGCGTATTCCCACAGCTGGACAAAGATCCTCTCTAGCTCTAGCCGGTTGACTTTGATCAGCCAAGTTATTGAGGATCCTAATCTAGCTATAGCCAGTTGTACAAGGGTCTTGGACGGTAGTGCTATACCTGTGAGGGAGAGAGGATGGTATGTTGGGGATGAAGATTTGTTGACGGGCAACTGTGTTTGTTTGGAGGGTTTTGCATGAGATATCTTTTTCGTAAATTAAAAAGATATTTTGCATGAGATATCTCACTTCTTGATTCGATTTGGTAAAGATAATTTCCCAACAGCAGTCCTCCGTGATCCGTTGAAAGTAGTGTCTATCGAACTAAAAATCCTCCCCTTTTTGCAAATGCTGCGTTTGATATTTGAGGCATATACTGTGTAGCATGTTGATATTTGAAGCATGCAGCCTCATGGTATGTATGCTATTCGGGGGCACCTTCCCAGATTTTGTCCTTTTACGGTCACAAGTAAAACTTGGAGGGAAAATCCAGATGTTTGCTAGGTCTTTGTTCCAAGAAGTCTCAACTTTGTGACATCTTGTTATTTGTTGAAGGCCAAATTGTTCCTGAGCCATATATAGTAAATCCCATTACCTTGCAAATGTTCCCGATAGAAGATTGCAATAATTAAAAAAATTCCAGCAAATGTTTCTGCCATTGTCACTATTCATTTGCATTTTTAATATCCTGAAAATATGTCTAATTATGTTGAAAGACGCACACCCAGCCCACAATGGGTTTGGTAGCAATCAAGCGTTAAAGTTGTTTTCTTGTATTAAATAGCTTGAAAATTGACGTTTTTCTTGTTCTAATCTATAGTAACACTGGGTTAAAACCTTTGATGGTAAGGATCTTCAATGAACATAAATGTATAAATTCAACACCAAGAATGAAGTTATTAATTGTTATTTGTAAAATGAAGAAAAACAACACTTGCTTCTAGTGAATCAGATTTTTTTTTTTTATATTTTGGAATTGAAGATTTGATTTGGAAGCTCTACAATATGAAAATTCTTTAGTTTGATTTTGTTCCAATTTTCAGAAAACACACAAGGATCATTCTAATTCCAACGTATCCTCTAAATCAAACCATGCTCCTCATGATTCTATGATCCAAACTTATCATGCTAGCGACGTGTGAGGATTTTTTTTCATTAAAATAAAAATAATGGTAATGTAAGAAACCTCTAACGCCAAACCTTACTCCAGCTTCAAGAATGTTGTCTCCCCTCCCATCATCACCGCCATCTCTGCAACGAATTATGAAGTATGAACTAATCATCATTTGCATAATGGGAGGGAAGTAACGCTAATTATCATTTAAATCTTGGGAGGCAAGTAATACTAATTATCATTGCAGCTTGGACCATAAAAATTTTCCATCTGGGCTTTGGTTGCGCCTGAAAAAGATCATTCCTACTATCCATGGCATAGTTCGTCATATCTCCCGATGTGCAATGTATCGCTCGGTTCGTAACTCTTCTTTAAGGGACCCATACCATTACACACCTCCATGACCAGCCGGTTCGGCCGATTTACACTGATATGCGCCCGAGTCCGGTACACCGCGGCCGCGACCGTTACCGCAACCGATACCACGACTGCAAACCATGATCCATAGCGACAAGTTTGTGCTAGTAGTAGCCTATAAAAACCAATCCAATCTAAGTAGGACGGATAATCATGTCAAGAAGCCCCGTGGACAAACTATAAATTTTCATCGACAAACTATCCAATGATAACTAAAAATCCTTGAGATTAAGTAAAGCACTCTAAAATTAAAACTCATATCTAAGTATGATGCAAAGCATTACATGCCTTCTAATACCAATCGCACATTCAGAATGTGGAAGGGCCATACATTTTGTGATTGCAATCCTGGGTATCAATTGCCACAGAATCTGTTAAGTTACTGATGAATGATGATACCAACTTCAACAAATATAAATTTGATCACTGCAAATTTAGCTTGCCAGCACTACAATAGCACGGTTATAAATGTTTTATTAAGCCAGAAAAAGGAGATTAAAGGGCAAGAGGTATTAGGACATCACATACCATTCTAAGAAGGTTGTCCACTACAATCGAACCAATGGGATCATAAATTGGATTCCCTGTGACATTAACAGCAACCAACGATGCAGCAGCATCAGCAAGACCGGTAACAGCAGCACCATCCCGCACTTGTGTAATCATATTAAGTGGAATAGACAAAGACGGTAAGAGAAGCATAATAATCTGATATGGTTAAAACATTGGTACAGCAGCAATCATTGCAAATCATAACAAACTACCTCAATATTGATAATCACAGCGAGCGATGTAATTTACGTAACAGCTTCCGAAAGTGGGGAGGGGGATAGGAGCAAAACAAGAAGATGATGAAAACCCCAAAAAAAAAAATTTTTTTTTTTAAGGAAAAGTAAATGCCTCAAAATCCTAAAAAGTTCGGAGAAAAAGATGTCCATAAAGGCATTAAGTGTGACTTCTTTGGGGCTTCTTGATATTAAGACATGGTATGGCACAAAAGAGAGCCCTATAAACTACAACAAAAAACAGAAATTTCCGAGATTAAACTTGATGTTGCTCTCAAACGTGGATAAGCTTTCCATGAACATTTAGTACTTCCTTCTCTAGATTTCTCTCCAATGCATTTGAAGCATTTCAAAGCAGGAGGTTTCTTCAATTTCAGTTCATTCCTTATGGATTCAGGAGATTGAAATTATAATGCCCTTCAGTACTTTGGTTAGTGTTTCAGGTGTACGTTGTGCCTGAAATGAGATGAAGCAAGATGCTAAAAGTATAGCTCAAATATACCATTTCTTACACCACCAGTCAATAATTTTTATATCTAGTCTCACATTCAATGAGACATAAGCTGATGCTAGAAGTATTATCACCACTTCACTTCAAACAACCAGAGGCGAACAAACTACTATTACCTCTGTCACAACTGCAACAGATGTGGGATCATGACCACCCCAGACATAGTCTCTCACTTTCATTCCTTCTGCAGCTGCACCTTTCCTAACAGCACCTGTGGCCACAACAAGGAAAGCACCTACAGAAAATACGAAGTTATTTAAGAGGGAAAAAATGGAAAGAAACAAAATGTAAAGGAATGCCTTGAAAAATCCAGCAGCCAATTATGACAATGCAATGAATTGGACCTTCAATAATGAATGAACCACCAATCACCAAAGCTGCATACTTAATATTTCCAGGAGGCTGAAGAAAACATGCATAAAAATCAATAAACCTCTCAGCAAGGGAGCAGCTAAATTTCATAAATAAGAAAAATGGAGAAGATAAAAAATCAATTGCATGTTACCTGTGAAGTCCACAAGTTCTGAACCCCATTAACAATTGTAGCACCAGAACCAAGACAGAAGATACCAACAGGAAGATATCAAAGACCAAACAAATCTTTCTTTTTGAATAAACATAACCGAAAATGTTAAAGAAACTTGTTAAAATATATAAATATTTCTATATAATCGTGGAGCAAAATTCTCCACCAATCATGGTGATCCAGTCAATTTCCTTCCAACTAAAAAAATTTCTACATAACAGTGGAGCAAAATCCCCCACCAATCACGGTGCCTTCTTTGACTATTGTATACCTTTCATATTTTCTTATCTTTTACCATGCCTAAATATAGGCTCTTTGCATTCAAGCAAAATATATCTGAATAATCAAAATGTAGCCCTTAATGACTCTTTGTCCATGGATGTAGGCCTTAGTGCCGAATTATGTATATGCTTGTATTCTCCATCTTTCTCTCTTCCCTTTTCATATTTGCTTTCTTATTTCCGCATCCAAATTTAACATGGTATCGGAGCCAGGTTGTTCTTGTAATCCCATCTAGAATTTGAGGGGGAGTATTGAAATTATTATCATGGAGCATATTCTCTCTGTCTTCACATTTCTTTCCCGGCGTTGTTACGGCCATTTCCAGGCGTTGTTCCGGACATTTCCCGGCTTTATTCCAGACATTTCCCCGCTTAGTTCCGCTTTTCCCGGCATTGTTCCTGTTTTTCCCGGCGTTGTTCCAGCCATTTCCCGGCGTTGTTTGTTCCGGCCATTTCCAGTCTTATTTCCAGCCATTTCTCAGTGTAGTTCCGGCCATTTCCCTTGGTGAGTTCTAGTTTATTTTCCCTGACAAGATCTGGTCATTTTCCCTGACAAGATCTAGTCAATTTCCTGATTTTGTTCTGGACACCTTCTCATCATCTTTCGAGGCGTTTCTTTGACAAGTTGGGCATTCATGATATTCATGCTCCAACTTGAGGGGAAGTGCTGAAATATACAAATATTTCTATATAATTATGGAGCAAAATCCTCCACCAATCATGCCATCATGGTGATCCAGTCAATTTCCTTCCAATTATAAATATTTATATATAACAGTGGAGCAAAATCCTCCACCAATCATGGTACTAGAACAAAATATATCTGAATAATAGAAATGTATCCCTTAGTGACTCTTTGTCCGCCTTAGTGCCTAAGTGTGTATATACTTGTGATCTCCATTTTTCTCTCTTCCCTTTTTCTATTTGCTTTTCTTATTTCCGCATCCAAATTTAACAATTCAACAAAACTCATTCAGGGCATTCCTAAACAATCAGCGTCTACATAAAAATACATGTCAAGAGTGCATGTATGTTCTTAAATTCTATATGAAAATCCCATCGGCCACACAATCCTAAAATGGCCTTTGTTTTTTAAGAAATAAAACCCATTTGTTGGAGAAGTAATATGATAATCACGAAGATTTCACTCACCATCAAACACTTATTTGACTGATTATTCATATCATATCAATGAGAAATCCTAAGGTGTTGATTGAGTCAAAAAAATAGAAAAACCAAAAAAAGGAAAGAAAAGAAAAAGAAAAAAAAATTTAACACCAAAAAACTGCCAAAAGATGTCCTGCAAATTTGTGGTTTCCATAAGCAAGCATTCTGTATCTCTTATTTCAAAAAACATTTGGACACGTATGTTGAGCTGTTTAGATGAGAAATAGTCAAATGCCAAACTTTTTAATACACAAATATTCATGATGCAGTGGCTTTGTAATACAGAACATTCACGGGTGGAGAGCATCTGGGGCACGTCTTGAACTACTCAGACCATAAGCAAGAAGTGCCTACAAAGTTAACATAAATTAGATTCTCTGCATTCATTATTTTTGGATAGCGTTATACCGCAAAATAAGAATGTTCACGCCAGCAAGGAGACATCAAGCAGGCTGTCAAGCTACTACACCTAGCACAACCCTCCTCTTTGGAACCACTTGTGTAAAAAGATATTGCGCTAAGAACAAATTACGCAGAATTGACTCAAGAACTGAAAGTGAAGAATTTACCCAAAAAATAAAATAAAATAAAAGCAGCATAGAAAGAAAGCACCAAGAAGAGCAGAGCCTTTGCAAGAACACTTTAAAGCACAACCATTCATGAGTTCTGCAGTCTGTACTCTGTACCACATCAAAGCCTTTGCATGGAACCCTATAGAGTAGAAAACTCATAAATTTTGCACCTTAGAAATGTTATAAATTATAGATAAGAACTTTAATTACTTCCAAGAAATCAAAAGAGGAGAAGGAAAAAGAAAGTATTCACGGTTCACGTCCAGTTGGACAATGGGCATCCTAAAGAGTTCAGACTTTGTAATTTGTTAAACCATCAAAACTATCTCAAGGTTCGCGCTTACAAGGAAACTAGACATGTAAAGAGAGAAGATTCATAATGATTTTTTCAGCCCCTCTTCTGGGACAGTCTAAAATCATGAATGATGTGTAAGAGGAGAGCTCTGAAAATAGAACATCAACAGCATATTTTTTAGTTTAGTTGTATATAATTTAACAGAGACGAGCACTACAACGCATTCAAAGAAGGTAACACTGTCCAACCAAAAAAAAGGTTCAGAGTCAACGTGAGAGGAACACATATAAAAAAAGACTTCGAAAAAATAAAAGATGACCCCACTGTTCCTTTTGCACTATTAAATATTTTCAGATCATTTATTGGCAACAGCTGGCAAAAACTAAAAGAAACAAGACTGCAGACGCACATAAATAGCTGCAGGGAACAAAATACCCAATTTTTTAGGAGACAACCAAAATATCAGTCTCTGGATACGGGAGATTATGTAAATATTATCCACTAGTCAAGAAAACTGCAAACAACATACCAAGAATCCCAATATCTTCTCCGCATTAGGAGTCCAGCTATCAAAACAGAAAACAACAAAACTTTTAACAACTGCCAACACTGCTACAGATAGAATGGGCAAACGATGCAGCAATAACTATACTAGGAAATTCTTACAATCAACATAGATAAATAAATGAAAACTGTAATGATAAGCAAATAGGAAAAGAAGAAACTTCTTTACTTGAAAGTAAAGAATGTATAATGAATTAGTCATCATGATAGGAGAAAAATCATGTTTCGTTAATTTCGGTGGCAGGTTAATATAAGGGAACAATAACTAGTCTGAGAAAAAGTGAAGTGATCTGTGACAACTTAGTCTGAGAAAAAGTGAAGTGATCTGTGACAACTTCAACACTCAGGAGTAATACAGGAAACAGTGAAGGTTTTTGGTTAATTTAACCAGCATCAATCTAAAACGACCTAGGAACATGTACATAACTTGTCAAAGAATCAATCAAGCTTTTAACTCTAAGATAGTACTAGGTTCACTATGTGGTATACTGAAACAAACAGATTATTATGAACAAAGCAAGGATATTAAAATTCCAAATAATAGTTTATGAATTAACAATGGTGCTTTCCAGTTTCTAAGATTATATTTTAAAAAAAAGAGAGTAAAATATATCTTTATTTTTTTCAGCAGAACTAGGATAGATAGTACGCCGAAATAGGAAAGAAAAAAAAAATATATATGTGTGTGTATTAACAGCAGATCCAAGGGACCCTTTGGCTTCTAAGTAGATATAGACAAACCTAATAGGACTTTTAAGCAGGCATGTACAGATGAATTCTCAGCACATCAAGCAGCCATCCAAAGTTGTCTTGGAACCCTTACAAGACAAACTTACAACCAAAAGGTGCTATAACAGCATTAGCTCTATGTCCTTTGCATCATGCTTATAAATAATTAAAAGGCAAGAGATTGATAATTGCCTGCTATCTAATCAGTTAGAGGCTCTTTAGCACTACTTCCAAAAGCGCATCTGCTCGAAATCCACTATAAACAATCAAAATATCCAAGTGCCTGTGAACACCAAAAAGAGAGTTCGAGCAAAAGATTCACAAGAGGGTGGAACAAACAACAAAAACAGATAATAAGATTCTCTCTCCTGTTTTCAACTCATCACAGGATACACAGCATGAAGTCCAGCCAAACAAAAGGTTCTTTAACTTTCAGCAAGTCCATCTTCAAGTAATGCAACACAAACAAGAAAAAAGTAAAACGCAACACACAGTGAAAAAAAAACTCCTCCGCACTTGTGGGGAAAAAAGAAAAAAAAAAAGCAAGAAAAAAAAGAGAATGTAGCGGATACGGGATTTGAAACCGTGCACTGAAGGTGATGACCTTGCAAACTACCAAACTGTTCTACCTCATAACGGAGAGACCTGGTGCAAGTAAACAATGGAAACAATAGAAAATGAAGGAAAAAATATAGAAGAGGAGAGAATGGCAGTAACCTAGACAAAAGATACCAACAGAAGATATCAAAGACCAAACAAATCTTTCTTTTGAATAACCGTAGCTGAAAATGTTAAAGAAACTGATTCAGGGCATTCCTAAACAATCAGCGTCTGCAGAAAACATATGTTAGTGCATGCATGTTCTTAAATTCTATATGAAAATCCCATTGGTCACTCAATCCTAAAATGGCCTTTGTTTTTTAAGAAAGAACACGTCTTGAACTACTCAGACCATAAGCAAGAAGTGCCTACAATGTGAACATAAATTAGATTTTCTGCATTCATTAATTTTTTGATAGCATTATACCGCAAATAAGAATGTTCATGCCAGCAGGGAGAGGAACAATGAGATCAACAGGAGCACACGTACCTGATTTACAAAATCTGCAATCAAGCGCACAACTTCAGCCAGCATATGACTTGAGGAGGTTAACCATAACCCAAACCTGAGAAAAAAAACAAGGGAGTTGCACCATAATGCGGTTGTGACTTGTGACAGCTTGCTGGCTAGAATTAAAATATTTTAGGCAGTAAATAAATGAGAATCAAATTATCAGATGTGGGGGGGAAAAAAGTGCTACTTTTTTTTTAATTAAATTAAGCATATTTGCTAAGACAGTAAAGTAGAACATCTTGATTACTCAAAATCTTCAAATGGAAGCAAAAAGTAATGTCTTAAGATAACAGGTAAAAATGAAAAACATAGATCCTGCTATTTTGTAATTGTATAACATTCAGCTTGATAATAAATATGCAAA